CATAAGTCCAGCTGCAACAGTGCTGCTATGGGTGGATCCTTCTCAGCTGTAGCAACAACCAATCAGAGCACTCCTGCTTTTCCTGTCTATCACTCACAAAGAGGGAAAAGAAAAAAAAATGCTTTGCAACTGCTGTTTAAGATTTAAAGCAACCAGCACATCTCTACATCTATACATCTATACCATAGTTTGTAGACGCTATAACCTTCACACAAAGCAATCAATATACACTTATTGGGATTTTTTTTTACCAAAAACATGTAGCAGAATACATTTTGGCCTAAATTTATAACCAATAAATATATATTTTTTATAGCTGAAAGAAAAAAATATCGTTTTTCTTAAAAATATTTGGTCTTTTTTTGTTTATAGTGTGAAAAATAAAAAGCGCACAGGTGATCAAATACCACCGAACGAAAGCTCTATTTGTGTGAAAAAAAGGATGTAAATTTAATTTGGGTGCAGCATTGCATGACCAATTATCAGTTGAATTAGTGCAGCGCCAAGTAGCAAAAAGAGGCCTGGTCATTATGGGGGGTAAATCCTCAGGAGGGCAAGTGGTTAATCAGTTTAAACTTTGTTGGTGTTAATGAAATTAACAACAGGTACACTAGATGGGCAACAGTCAGATGATCCCCAAAAAAGGAATGGTTTTACAGGTGGAGGCCACTGACATTTTTTTCTTTACTCATATTTTCTATATTTCACTAGTTTTACATTTTGCTATGGTCAGTGTCACTACTGGTAGCATGAGGTGATACCTGGACCCTACAGAGGTTGCATAGGCAGTCCAAGTCCCCCAGGATGGCACATCAATACGTACCATTGCCAGAAGGTTTGCTGTGTCTCCCAGCATTATCTCAAAAGTATGGAGGAGATTCCAGGAGACAGGTAGTTACTCTAGGAGAACTGGCCAGGGCTATAGAAGGTCCTTAACCTAGCAGCAGGACCGGTATCTGCTCCTTTGTGCAAGGAAGAACAGGATGAGCAGTGCCAGAGCCCTACAAAATGACCTCCAGCAGGCCACTGGTGTGAATGTCTTCAACCAAACAATCAGAAACAGACTTCATGAGGATGGCCTGAGGGCCCGACACCCTCTAGTGGGCCCTCTGCTCACTGCCCGGCACCATAGAGCTTGACTGTCATTTGCCATTGAACACCAGAATTGGCAGGTCCGCTATGGAGAGCGTTATGCTACCTGTAACATCATTCAGCATGACCGTTTTGGTGGTGGGTCAGTGATGGCCATATCCATGGAGGGACACACATACCTGGATGAAATCCTTGGACCCATTGTCAAATCCCCACACTGGTGCAGTGGACCCTGTGCTCACTTCCCTGCACCATAGAGCTCGATTGGCATTTGCCATTGAACACCAGAATTGACAGGTCCACCACTGGTGCCCTGTGCTTTTCACAGATGAGAGCAGGTTCACCCTGAGCACACGTGATAGACGTGAAAGGGTCTGGAGAAGCCATGGAGAACATTATGCTGCCTGTAACATCATTCAGCATGACCATTTTGGTGGTGGGTCAATGATGGTCTGGGGAGGAATATCCATGGAAGGACGCACAGACCTCTACAGCCTAAACAAATACACCCTGACTGCCATCATGTATTGGGTTGAAATCCTTGGACCCATTGTCAGACCCTACGCTGGTGTAGTGGGTTCTGGGTTCCTCCTGGTGCATGACAATGCCGGGCCTCATGTGGCGAGAGTATGCAGGCAGTTCCTGGAGGATGAAGGAATTGATACTATTGAATGGTGCCCATGCTTTCCTGACATAAAACCCAATAGAACACCTCTGGGTTATCATGTTTTGGTCCTTCCGACACTGCCAGGTTGCACCTCAGACTGTCCAGGAGCTCAGCGATGCCCTGGTCCAGATCTGGGAGGAAATACCACAGGACACCAACCGTCGTCTCATTAGGAGCATGCCCCAACATTGTCAGGCATGCACACAAGAACGTGGGGACCATACAAACTACTGAGTACCATTTTAAGTTGGTGCAATGAAATTTCAGGAAAATGGACTAGCCTGCTGCATCATTTTTTCACCTTGATTTTCGGGGTGACTTTGAATTCAGTCCTCTGTAGGTTGATAATTTTCATTTCCATCAAACAATGGGTATCCTTATGTTCCTAACGCATTACCCAGTCCATATCAGTATAGATATCCAGCATGATATTTTTTGCCTATTGAGATCTGATATGTTTTCAAAGTGTTCCTTTAATTTTTTTGAGCAGTGTATTATTCAATGCTACCATGTATACCACTTTTACTGCTACAAATTCTTACTAGCTGTTCTATATTAGACTTTGTTAAAGAGATAAAAACAAAACAGTAGAAATATTGTTAAGTCACTGGATGGCTACATTGGTTCAGTTTATCAGCCGTCTTGTAAAACACTAAATACTGAGAAAGTCTCTGTATTTGATAACTTACTTTAGCTCATATTACATTAACAAAATTAGGATACAGAAAAATACCTGTCTTTGTCTTATTCATATCACAAGCTTAGGACGCAATGTATTACTGAGATGACACACAGTTTCAGCTAGTTACATTCCTTGTTTCTCTACAGCAGAAACAGAAAAGTATATTTTTACAACAGTGGTAATACAGACAAAAATGAGTATTGCCATTTCATATATAATGTGGCTTACCCAGTAAAACAACAGGCTGTTGAAGAAATCTGAATCACCATCACCTTAAACATCATCCTCCGTGCAAGTGGAAAATACTCTATATTGTTTTAGTTTTTCTTCATCAAAATGAAAAAGTCAAACACTCTTTCTGAAAAATGTCATGTGGTTTATGAAACATATCAGATTTCCCTAAGTCATTTCAAGAGGACTCTGTCCTTGAGGTGTCATATTAACATTTCACTCAGAAGACACATTTATAAGGACTGTTGAGCATGTGAGAGCTATCAGGCTTTATTTGAAATTCTAAAAATATGTTTTTTTTTATAAATATTAACTCCAATAAAGGAGAAATGTTATTGGCACAAATATTGGAATAAATCTTTCAAAAGAGAACATTCTGCCAGAGTTCATTGAGGTGTACTTAAGAGGGCTCCTTTGTTAAGGATTATAGTAAATTAAATAGTCTACAAAAATATACTGTATAAGTTTCATTTGTATCAAGCAGATGAGGCTGACAGATATGCTGGAGATAATATGCAGTGTACTAATAATAGAGCACACGTACCTATTAATAAATAAATACATAAATATCTGTATTATCTGGTGTTGAGGTAAAGAGCAAATTCTACACATATTACATGTTTGCAACATGCTGGAATTTAAAATTGCATCCTATGTAATAAAAAGAGTCTTGTAACTTCTAAACAAGTAATGTTGGACACACAAACTAGATAGAGAACAGGCAGAGGATAACCACATTTATAGCAGTTCTATTTTGGTTAAGTGATGAGCAACAGAGAACTTGTACATTGGCCTAGACATCCTAATCTTTTTTTAAAGCATTATCTCACAGTAACCTTCTTGGAGTAAACACTTACTGCTTTAGAGCATGACCCTTTAGAATGCTTGGTTCATAATGACATTCCAGTCTAACTAGAATTTCCAAAGATGGCTTTAGCATTTTTTTTTATTATATAAAGTCCTTTAGGAGGCACTTCTTGACTCACTAGAAGGGAAAATGGATTTCACGTGTTGGGTTTTGGCTTTTTGTAACTCACTCTCCTCTCTCACGAACAATGCTGAGTAGCTCTACCTTCAACAAAACAGCCCAAAATAGCACAGTGCTACCAAAAAACACAATATAGCTGATAATAAATAAGCTCAATAACCAAATATCAATAGTGGAATATGTTCATATAAAATACAATAATTGCAAGAAAAAGGAAAATGATGTAAATAAAATCTGTACATAAACTACATAAGTGCATCCAATAATAAAACTTGCATTAAAGAACATTCAATAATAAAGTCCAGCAGTGTCATAAAAGTCTGTGATAAACACCTAAATTGTGTACTTAAAGAAAAAAACATAACGATCAGTTGTCCTTCAGGCACAATAATAGCAAACCTCCTCCTAATGCATACACCATTGTGCATTCACTCAAGTGATAAACCTAGCCACTGACCTTCAGTCCAGACCTTAAACTGTTAATGAGGACAAATGGGTTTGTGTCGCTTTAAGGGAAAGCAGGGAAACCAATGCAACTTTCTCAATGATCTCCCAGAATCATCCAACACTCAGAGATGGATCTGAGCCATGTGGATTAAATACAAAACATAGAAGAATGACATAGAAAGAATAAAAAACTGATTCTCCAGCCTTTTGGGCTCACCACAATCCCTGTCTCCTGGAGGCACATAGTATGATGACATCATCTGCCTTGAAGACCCGCCCCTTTGACACATATCATCCAATCCCAGACTTCTTTAAATAGGAAGTCCAGAGTTGAACGATTTATGTCAAAGGGGTGGGCTCCAAAACCGATGACATTATCAAGCTAACTACGTGCCACCAGGGGGCATAAAACATCATTGATGAAATGTTAAGAAGTCACAATGTTATATGCCCCCATAAATATAATTTAGTAAAGAGTTTGGAAGAGTGGAGTCTTTCAAACATTTCAGGAATCAGGGGCACTGGATAGCAATTTTTAATAGTGATCTTGTTCAAATCTTTGTAGTCGATACATGGACACAGGATGAAATCCTTCTTCTTGACAAAGGTTAATGCTGTCCCAGGAGGGGAGGATGAGTGTTCTTCTTTAACCAGCTGCCGACCGCAGATAGCCGAATGACGGCTTCACTGCGGCCGGCCAGTTCTGAGTGGACGTCATATGACGTCCTCCCAGAACGCGCTCTCCTGCGCGCCCCAGGGGGCGCGCACCCGGCGATCTCCGTGATCGCTGTGTCCTACGGACACAGCTGATCACGTGATGTGGCAAAAGGCCAATCACAGCGGCCTTTTACCACCTGATCAGCGGTGTCCAATGACACGCTGATCAGAAGGAAATGCAAGTGCTGGTTCTCGGCTGCACTTTCCTCACGCTGTCAGATCGTGAGGAAAGTACTGCCGAGAACCGGCAGTTGTCAGAGCGGGGATCGGCACCGATCATCAGGGCACTGATGATCAGTGCCCTGATGATCGGTGCCCAGCAGTGCCACCCGTAAGTTCCACCCAGCAGTGCGCCCACTAGCTCCGCCCACCCGTGCCCATCAGTGCACCCACCTGTGCCCAGCAGTGCACCCACCTGTGCCCAGCAGTGCACCCACCTGTGCCACTCTGCAGTGCCACCTACCTGTGCCCAGAAGTGCCACCTACATGTGCCCAGCAGTGCCACCCACCTGTGCCCACCCACCTGTGCCCACCAGTGCCACCCACCTGTGCCCACCCACCAGTGCTGCCCACCAGTGCCACCCACCAGTGCAGCCCAGCAGTGCTGCCAGTCAGTGCCACCAGTCAGTGCCCAGGGGTTGTGCCAGTCAGTGCCACCAGTCAGTGCCCAGCAGTGATGCCAGTCAGTGCCGTCTATCAGTACCCATCATCAGTGTCACCTATCAGTGCCGCCTATCAGTGCTGCATATTAGTGCCGCCTATCCGTGACCCCTAATTAGTGCTGTCTATCAGTGCCGCCTATCCGTGCCACCTCATTAGTACTGCCTATCAGTGCCCTTTAGTGCTGCCTATCAGTGCCCATCAGTGCCGCCTATCAGTGCCCATCAGTGCTGCCTCATCAACGCACATCAGTGAAGGAGAAAAAATACCTGTTTGAAAAATTTTATAAAAGAAACAAATAAACTTTTTTTTTTTTTCAAATTTTTTGCAATTTTTTTTTTATTTATAACGCAAAAAGTAAAGTGCCCAGTGGCGATTAAATACCACCAAAAGAAAGCTCTATTTGTGAGAAAAAAATGATCAAAATTTCATATAGGTACAATGTTGCATGACCGCGCAATTGTCAATCAAAGTGCGGCAGCACTGAAAGCTGAAAATTGGCCTGGTAAGGAAGGGGGTATAAGTGCCTGGTAGGCAAGTGGTTAATCTCTCATCAAGCCACCTCCTAAACACCTTTTAATATAGGTTTTGATAGATACGTTCAAATGCTATTTCTGCCCCTGGAAGCAATTAAATCAGTCATACAGGCGATGAGGAGGTAACTGGCTGGCATTCTATTTATCACAAATGTCCTGGAACTCATGATACTGTGGAGGCAGTGTGTCATACAGCTGGGTAGTCACCACAACCATGTGAATTCCTGGTCACTGGAGGACTTGTTTGGTAAGATTCTTTACACTCTTCCTTGCAATGGTTAATGATAGGATGATAGGGAATTTGGGTGACGTGATCAACTTAAAGCTGATAGTTTCATGATGTTAAGCCTTAATTTGGAGTTTAAGAAGAAGGGTTTCATGGGTAAAAGGTCCTGAAGATAAAGGTGAGACATCCATGGTTTCCATATCAGTAGGGGCAGCTTCATTTCGTATTTGAATGCTATTGTTTTGGGTAATTCAATGTCCATGAAATTCCCCCCCTAGCTCTAGAGTCCAACATAGCAGAGAAAGGGATTTCAAAGCTTTCAATAATACATTTAATTGGGATGACAAAATGAGATGATCAGGAGTTAACTTTATTTATCTCATGAGGGGAGAGAGAGACTGAGAAATGGAACTTATTTCTTCGGACACTGTATTACTAGTTGCCGCAATCATTCTATCAAATTGACTGGGACAATTAATTGCATAATGTCCACACTCTCCACAATAGAGACATAAGTTCCCTGCACATTGTCTCTCTTTGCCTGAGTATACATACACTATATTGCCAAACGCACTGGGAAGCCTGCCTTCACTCACATGAACTTTAATGGCATCTCAGTCTTAGTCCGCAGGGTTTAGTATTGAGTTGGCCCACCCTTTGCTGCTATAACAGCTTCAACTCCTCTGGAAAGGCTGTCCACAAGCTTTAGGAGTGTGTCTATGGGAATGCTTGACCATTCTTCCGGAAGCGCATTTGTCAGGCACTGAGGTCAAGCAGAAGATCTAGCTTGCAGTCTCCAATCTAATTCATCCCTAAGGTGTTCTATAGGGTTGAGGTCAGGACTCTGTGAAGGCCATTCAAGTTCCTCCACACGAAACTCACTCATCCATGTCTTTATGGACCTTGCTTTGTGCACTGCACAGTCATGTTGGAACAGGAAGAGGCCATTCCCAAACTGTTCCCACAAAGCTGGAAGCATAAAATTGTCCAAAATGTCCTGGTATGCTGACACCTGAAGAGTTCCCTTCACTGGAACTAAGGGGCCAAACCCAACCCCTGAAAAACAACCCCACACCGTAATCCCCCCTCCACCAAACTTTACACTTGGCACAATGCAGTCAGGCAAGTACCGTTCTCCTGGCAACTGCCAAACCCAGACACATCCATCAGATTGCTAAAAAGAGAAGTGTGATTCATCATGTCAGAGAACATATCTCCACTTCTCTAGAGTCCAGTGGTGGCGTGCTTTACAGCACCTCATTTGACGCTTTGGATTGCACTTGGTGATGTAAGTTTTGGATGCAGCTGCTCAGCCATGGAAACCCATCACATGAAACTCTCTACACACTGCTGTTGTGCTAATCTGAAGGCTATTCAAAGTTTGGAGGTCTTTAGCTATTGACTCTGCAGACAGTTAGCAACTTCCGCGCACTGTGTGCTTCAGCATGCGTTGACCCCGCTCTGTCATTTTATGTGGCCTACCACTTCGTGGCTGAGTTGCTGTTTGTTCCTAGTTGCTTACACTTTGTTATACACCACTAACAGTTGACAGTGGAATACATTATTTAGTAGCAAGGAAATTTTCATACCTCAGTTAAAGGCCAAGTTGATGAGAGGGCTTCCCTTGCGGCTCTGGTCCGAGCAGCCCTGAATGTGGTGACAGAGGTACAAGGCTCAAAGAAGCACGGGTGCCGATAGCTTTATAGCAGGTGACTGCCACGGTCAGGGATGTATTCAAGGTGAGCCAGATTCATACACAGTGAGAAAGCAGCCTAGTCAGGAGGCAGGCTGGGGTCGGTAGAAGATAGAAGATTAGCAAGCAGAGTGAGGTCCAGTAGCAAGCCGAGGTCAGCACCAGGAGATCAGGCAGAGAGTAGTCTAAGGCAAGCTGAGGTCAGAATCATAAGAGCAAGGTCAGGAGCAAGCTGGGTTAGCAACGGAAGATCAGTCAGTACAAACAGGAACACAGGAACATGGGTCACAGGAAGCTGAAGAACATCCAGCGATTAGTACACAGCAGAGTCTCCATTAAATAGGCATACGTGCCATTGCGCGATGGAGCATAGAAATGTGCCTACGTGTCAGTGCATGCTGGATATTAACCTGGGCTTGTCTGTGTGCGGATACATGTGTACGAACATTAGCTGCATAATAATGAGCAGTAGGTGCATAAAAATTAGCATTAGCTCCACGAGAATTAGCATTACCTGCAGAAGAATTTGTATGAGCTGCAGAAGAATTCATGATAGCTGCACTAGTTTCCTGACAGTTACTGTTGTTCCCAGTTGCTTCCACTTTGTTATAACACCACTAACACTTGACAGTGCAATATTTAGTAGCAAGTAAATTTCACAGATGCACTTATTGCAAATGGGGGAACCTATCACGGTAGCATGCTTGAATTCACTGAGCGACCCATTCTTTCACAAATGTTTGTAGACGCAGTCTGCATGCTTAGGTGCTTGATTTTATACACCTTTGGCCATGGAGGTGACTGGAACACCTGAATCCAATGATTTGGAGGGGTGTCCTAATACTTTTGGCAATATAGTGTAGATTTTTTCATAGCATCCACCTTTATAGGTTTAGGAGTTTTAGAATCTGGAAGAACTTTTGAATCCTGAGTGAATTGGCTAGTAGAAAAGTGCATGCCTCCATTACTTCCTAGAACTCCCAGTTTTCTCCTTCTTCCTTTCTATAAGTCTCTGATCAATTTGAATACATCATTTAATAAAGGCCTCAAGATCCTTTGGAGCCTCAACTCCAGAAAGCTCATCCTTTACCTTTTCAGAGAGCCTATGATGGAACTCAGGGCTGGGAAAAGGGGCGAAGGGATACTTGCCCCCGGCACAGTGTTGGGGGGGTGCATTAGGAGCTTCGGCTCTTCCTACATCTCAGCAACAGCACAAAACCTATCGGTGCCTGTCCTCACCCGCCAGCCTGCCTACCACCTGTAAGGCTTTTGTATTCTTATATCTGCCTAGTGTCTAGTGTTGGCATTTTCTGCATCCTCTGTCAGCTTCTGTCCCCACCCCGGCCAATCCATCACTTGTAACACTTCCCTAGACTTTGTGGAACAGGTCTGTTAGGTAGAGGGTGGGTGATGGGAAATTATATATTTTATATTTCCTTATTATTGTTGGCTCACAATATCTAATAATGAGACAAGAATGGTCACATTTAGATGACACACACCAAAGGAAAAGTGACCAAGTCCTTAAAAGGTTATATTGCTTGCAAAGGGAGTTGACCAAATCCCTACATACAAGTCCAATATAAAACACACAGCTAGGCTGGAGATATTTGTCTTGTACCGGAGCTTGCGTTAAGCATGCATGTGTTCTGATCATCAGCCATGCCATATAATGGAGGGACCAGTGGCAAAAACAGAATCTTTAGTTAAGTTTTCTTGTTATATTTTCTTTATCTTTATCTGTATCTGTCATTACTTTTAATAAATGTTTTACTTGCCAGTATTTGCATGATCTCTCTTTGCACATATGGAATACAACCCCAAAAACATAACAAAAAAGCGGGCCGTGTGTGGGGACAGAAGTAGACAGAGGATGCAGGAAAAGCCGGCACTAGACCAGATATACTAGGCAGATATAAGAATACTAAAGCCTTACAGGTGGTGCAAGGGCCACGGATAGCAGCCAACAGTAGATGCAGAAGATGCCATGAGAGGGAACCCTGGAGCATGAGCAGACCCTGGAAGGTATAAGAATGATGAAACCTTGCTCTTGGTGGTGGGCTGGGGGGCAGGGTCCAAAGCCGACAGAAGATTCCAAGACCAAACCCCCAGATATAAGAACACCAAAGCTTTACAGGTACAGTGTAGTTATGGTCTGCTCAGCTGAGGATTTAATTTGCTGCTTGTGATGACGACTTACAATCTTTTTTTTGAGAATTTCCTTTTAAATTTGACTTGACATATTGATTGTTGGTGTTGATGTTAGTAGGAGCAGTTGTATTAGTAGAAGTTATTGATTTGTTATACATTAATTGTCAGTAGTGTTTGGTGTAAGGCCTTCAACACCCTTAATTCTCCTATACTAATATACCTGACCATCAGTCAAAATGAGCCTTTAACACTTCCCCTCTTACACCACCAACACACACCCAACAATTAAAGAAAAAGTTAGCAAATTAAAATTTAGGGGAATATAATTGGAAAACAGGATTCATCAGTAAAAATGGCTGAAGATCAGTACCTGGAAGCCAACCAGCCAAAACTGTCAGCAGTCAAAGGAGCTCCGGGACGTTGTAGCACTGGTGGGAAGG